TAAGAAATTGATGTCAAAAATAAATAGTACCTATGGGCTACGAGTAATTAAGATAGATTAGATTTTCGATAATAAGAACGTAAAGATTTGATAATTATGATTATGTATCCCTATATGGAGATAAATTATAGTATATGAGGGAGCTATTAATTATTATATAGGTTCTATATATTATTTTATTTATAATACAATTTCTACAATTATTGACTGTTCACTATTATAGGTACCTATACATTTACTATTTATATACTCTAAACCATGTAGGTACTTGTCTATTATGGTCTACTTGTTTTGATAATATATAGGTATTTCAATATTTTAGTTTATATATTTTTATTATTAATGATTATTAATTATTCTTGTTGATATTATCTATATAATAGGCAATAACTAAATAGATTGGGAAATATTTTTTTCAAAATGTATTGTAGATGGCGCCCTCTAGGACACCAAGACACTAGACTTATGTAACAATTAATAAGTAAGTTATTGGACAAATTCTAATTTCATAATAATAATACCTACCCAGGGTTGAACTAGGAATAAAAATTGGATCCGTAGAAACAGAAAATTTGGCACAATTTTGGGCTAATAAAATATTTAAAAATTAACGGCCCAAATGTATTCAAGCCATTTGACCATTTCGCCCACCCGCCACCCTAGCCAGTTCACCCCCTGTACCTAACTATAGGTACCTATTGCATAGGCGTAAATAATAAAATATGTATATAATAGAGTAATCGTATTGACATAACGTACGATGACACTATATTGTACGATTTATTTGATGGTGGCAAATAAATAAGTCGACCACACGCGTACCTATATATAATATATTGGAAGTCAATGTAGATAAATAAACTTACCAAGTCGTGCGCAGCCGTTTCGCCAGTGGCTACACGAACCGGATTCTGCTTGATGCGGCCAATTTTGAACGAATAATGTCGAATCTTGTCCGGTAAAAGGCGTGAAAACTCTGAGCAAAGCACAAGTATGGGTAAAAACCAAAACGCACGAACAATTTAGCAAAATGTCTACACGAAATTCCGTCGTAAATATTTTGTGATTTAGGAGCGTCACGCGTGGTGTAGATACTATAATAGGTATAGTACGATAATTTAACTCCAATAAGTACCTTAGACGGAAGAAAAACGTATTGATTTTTTTTTTACTCGAAAACTGTTACAAAAACGTAAAACAGTGTCTTTCGTATTACCTATACAAATCAATACAGATGATAAAATATTATATCATAGCAGGTATAAAAATATGAGAACGCACACGGTAATTGCGGTTTCGGAGAGCAGACACGGTGTACACCGGTTACGGAACGCGGCGATGCGTCTGTGCACTGGTGCGACTGTTGCGAGCGTATTGCGACCGGCTTACTCGGCAGCATCGGCAGCGGCGACGAAAGGGGGCCAAACCCGACGCTGGCCAATGGCGTACACGCCGGTGCTACGACCACGCCTCCCCCCTCCCCGTCAAACACCAGCTAACAATATTATGTGAGTTGGGGACGCGGTAGTTGTGTATCATATCCCTAACGTCCAAGTATTTGGCAAATTATATAATGTACCTATAAACATATTACATAATATTATATACCTTATACCTATATTATAAAATTATGTATAACCGCTGTGGTACTACTCTTCGTATGCGCATAATGCATATAGAGTATATACCTATACCATGTACCAGATCTGCCTATGTTGGCGATTAGAATAGAGTATAAGTGAGTAGGTACTATAGTGAGTATAAAATAATAGGTATGTAATTTTTTTATGGAAAGAATAAAATATAAAAACCGGGGAACTCATTTCGCTCCGCTGACCGTATAATATAGGTGTTTTGTGTAGAAATAACTTAATCACCGAGTATATAGGACATAATATAATAATACTCATGCCTATTATAGGATATAGGTACATATAGATAAAATTGTACATTTTAATGGAAGTGTTAGATTTGTATTCAATGATAAATTGGATTAAATTCGAAATTTATTTTTATTTATTTATTTTTCTACACTATACCTAGTATAGGGGTAGTATGGTAGGATGAAAATGTTTTCCAAAAACGCCTCATACAATAATCTATATATTATCTATTGTATATAATATTATAAAATGGTTGGTAACGGTTGGTACGATTAGAACGCTTGTTTTTATGTGGGGCAAGGATGTGTCGCAAAGAAACCGGATGGTCACCCATCCGGGATCCTGCGACGTCAAACGATGATCGACCGCAATACATATTATAAGTGACGGCCGATCAACCATCATGCCACGCCAGGCCTCATATTAACTATTAATATGTTTAATGTTATATTTACTTAAATCACCCACATTATTATAGTTTATATAGGTAAATACAAATCATACCCAAATCACCCTCCATAGTTAGGTAAACGTAACTGCTACAGTATGAATTACAGCAACAATATAAAATCGATTTATCAATAAAACTAGTGTTTGGGTAAATATGCCTGTTATCGTACCTATAGTTTTTTGTAACTATTGGCCCTAATTAGGCACTTAAAGAATACGTACTGCATAGGCTTTCTTACTCTTGATTCAAAGTACCAATAATATATTTGATACTTATAGACACCATTCCTTTCATCGAGGTTAAACAATGAACATTAAAGCAATAAAGCATATTATTTCTACTCCAAAAAATTTACAAGTTAGGTTATAATTATATGTATAGATACATTCAAGGAGTAACCAGGATTATGAAATGAGGGGTAGGGGCAAGTATAAATTAAACAAAATTGTTTACAGTTATATTTCGTTTATAAATAATATAAATAATACATTTATTAGGAGAAATTCTACCGTGTAGGAATTAACACATTATGTACCTATTTATTTTACCTTCTATAGCTAGGTCTCGTGCAGGAGCTACAATTTTAGTTGTATATATAAGTAATGTAACCCATTCAACTTACAATTTTTAGGTTGGATTAAAAACAGGTATACATATATAAGTATGTATATATAGATATGATTGTCGTTTGACCATCATCGACCGTTTAAAAGGTCGCACCTATACTATATTTTCACATCAATAATATTTATCAATATAATAACTGAAAAAAGTGTTTACCTAAAAGCGCGAGTTGTTTTTCAACTTTAATCTTAAAATTCTCACATCTCTAAATGTACTATAATCTCGTAATATTCAATTTTCAAATATTGTATAGGTATTTAGGTTTTAAAATATATAATATGTACATACCGTAATAATATTGGTGGGCCGTAAAATCTCGGAACGTATTCGCATGGACCATATAAATACAGAACAAAAAAGTATAGACACGAACCGTAGAAATGCGGAATAAAATATTCTTCAAACCATATTATTTTGGACCGTATGACCGCGGAATTTCAAAATATGCGGACTGTATGGTCACGGACCGTATATAAATCTGGAAAGTATATACTCCCGGACTGTATTCTCACAAATAAACATTTAGTTTCAAGATAGTACAGTTTCATTAATCGGGGCCATGTTAACATACCGATATGATGCATGCTTATATACCTCATCTACTCAAGTAACCAATGGCAAACATTAATATAAAAATAATATACTCCGTGAATCTCAAAATCCTTGCTCTCGCGTGTGTGTGTGTGTCCAGAAATCGGCTCGGCAAAAGTATATATTATAATATTATTATTACACAAAAATAAATGAAAATTACAGTAGGAACGTACTTTGAATTCAATGTTTTATTCAATAATAACAAAATATATGGTACAGTAGTAGTCGTCTAGTGCCTCTAATATTCTACACAACAGTACCATCGACAAAATATCATCCTATGATATTTTTACGTCCGTCAAAAATAAAATCCTTTTGTCATGGCAACACCACTGGGACTCCATTCCGCCTACCAACAAACTTAAACACATAAAATGTTCTGTGAAACAGTGGTTTACACCTCCGGACCTCAACCGACGTCAAAATATTGCCATCACTCGTATTAGAATCGGCCACACCTTTCTCACACACTCCTTCCTTATCAGTAAATATCAACCCCCTATATGCAACTCATGCCAAACCCGTATCACCATAAAACACATTTTTGAAGAATGCCCAATACACGAACCAACCCGCACTCTTCTCAACCTCCCACTCAACATCAAAGAAGCTCTAAATATGAAGAACATACTTTAAAAACTATCGAATTCATCACCAAAGACAACCTTATCAACAAAATATAGTTTCAATATAAATTAAATTGTAAATCTATTTAAACAAATATTCTAATTTTTAATATTGTAATTTACTTTTTTTTTTTTTTTTTTTTGTTAAACTTAAACAAAAATGTTGGCTAATAACCTTTGTAGTTTAAGCCTGTAAACCTTAAATAAAAAAAAAAGTAGTAGTCGTCAGTAATACGGTATAGGTCAAGACTCAAGGTATATCATAATATAATGTACCTAATATAATCAGTACAATTTAAATGAATGTGTAAACATGATACATATAATATGATAATAACAATATAACGCATAAGGTTATTTCCTGTGGCGAGGGGACTGGGGAATTGTGGACCTCGGCTTACAACTTTGTTGCCGGACAAAACATACGGTGATGAGCCGAAGGCGGCGAACAAAGCACGTCGGCGACATTACTGGTACCTACGCCCAAAACTGGTTGACCCGGCGTGGCTGACGGTAGTAACCGGTAACATATAGGTACGATAACGGTGGTTATTGGTAACATAAGTACAGGGCCGGATTGGTATGTATCAGCCCATTGAGATTTTCACTTCTATAAGCGGCCCATTTACATATTCAATGGTCCAAAATTACGTCTATAATTTATTATTACGAGCTTATAGGTGGCCAATCATATTTTAAACATGAATTTATTTTCACTCACACTTACACGGCCGGCCCAAACTTTAAGCGGCCCACTGAGATTTTCTCGGTAGCTCGCCTAACCAATCCGGCCCTGCATAGGTACGATCTCGGTGATAAGGGATGAGGTCGAACTTCGTGAATGTCATTCCAGGTCAACGAAACTGCGGCAGAAACAAATTCGTAGCGTTGACCATGGACTTCCAGACGAATCTTTTCGACCTCTTCCTCACCGATCTACGTGTAGACCATGCAGGATTCTGTAGAGTTTCATCAGCTGCCACCTGTGGAACGGTCTTAACTGCGCCGTACACTCGCTGCATGCGTTCTCGCCATGGCTGTAACTGCAGTAGCCCGACAGCAGCGACGGCCAAGTCCAGAGCGTCGGTCAAGGACCCTGACATCGCAGGAATTTTGGCGTTTCCGCGTGGGCGTCCATCTCCACAGTCATAGGAACTTCGGGTGCAGGGAACGGTGGTTAGTAGATCTTTACTACCTGCAGGTGGTACACAGGCGAGACGGTGGTGAGCTAGGGTGACGATGACCGGAAACTCTTCGCAAGTCCGAGCCACGGCGGAAACAAAACATTCACGATCTTGCGGTCAACGGCCAAGTCCAGCCGACCGATCAGAGAGCAAACCTCATTGGCACAATCAAACGACTTCGTACATTTTGTAGATCCCAAGGCCATCTCTGACATGTAATACGCACAAAAACACGATAAGTACGAACGTCGAACAGAAAATAAACAGTTTTTTTTTTTTAGAAAATATTTTTAAGACTCACGGACGAGTGATAAACAGATTATAAAAACTGATTTCGAATTATAAATTGTTACTAACAATGAATAAATATTAAATAATAGTGTGCCGATTTCTCTATAGTTTGTATTGTGGATCAGCTAATAGCTATATAATAATATTAGTAAGTAGCAAATAAATACAAAATATAACAGATACAATTAAACCATAATTTAACAGTAATTTTGATGAATAAAAACCTACGATTATTCTTAAAATAATACCGGTTTCGGCGCAATCAGAATCATATCACATTGTGACATGATTTAGATTAATTAAGTTTGCATTTCAAATCTACATAATATCTAATTTTTTTAAGTCGGATTATGAAATTATAAGAAGATTATGGGTAATATTAATATATATTATGGGTTTAAAAATCCGGTTCGAATAATGATTTAACCACTAATTCACAATGGTGATCAATTAAACATCCTTTAAAATGTATGTAACATGGGGAGCCGTAAAATCCCGGAAAATAATCTAACGGACCGTATATATCCGGAAAAAATAAGTATAGTCCCGGACCGTAGAAATCCGGAATAAAATATTTTTCGGACCGTATAATTCCGGAATTTAAAAATAATCGAACCGTACTGTCACGGACCGTAGAAATCCGGAATGTATACTCCCGGACCGTATTCTCCAGGAAAGAATAAATACAAAGACTGTATAGTCCCGGACCGTAGAAATCCGGAAAAAATAATCACACAACCCGTAATATACCGGACCGTATAATTCCGGAATTCAAAAATAATCGAACCGTATTGTCACGGACCGTAGATATCCGGAATGTATACTCCCGGACCGTATTCTCCCGGAAAGAATAAATACGTAGACTGTATAGTCCCGGACCGTAGAAATCCGGAAAAAATAATCACACAATATACCTATTCTCCCGTAATCCAAATTCTACACCCACGCCATCAAGCAGTGAAACATATCACCAAAAATGGTTTGAACTATAAAATAGGAGTTTCAAATAGGCAATTTGTAATGTTTAATAAAAAAAATTAAAATGTAATTATCTAAATAAATTTCTTTTTAGTATTCAAGATCAAAAATACTTGTTTTTTTTTAATAGTATAACGTATAATTATAATAATAATTAAATCACATTCATACGTCTGGCGTGCTTGCCAAATGTTCACCACTTTTTTATGTACTTGCCATGTCGTGCGAAGGCAAACAATGTAGATACTTATTTAATCGTCACTTCTGTGTATTTGAAAGACTGTCGATAAATGTAACACTAGTCCAACCAAAAGTATTATTGGAAAACTAAGGAAAACTTATTTATACCATACTATAATACGTCTATACTTAAAATTATGTAGTACCTACCTATACAATTAGGTACCTACTTATTAGACCAATAGAAGTATAATATTTAGTTACCAAATTTGTATTTGTATATTTTGTGTAACATTAATATTGTACAGGTATATATGTATTATGCTATATTATTAATACAGAATTTGTAAGAGAACCTACTTCATTGATTAATCGTGAATGGTGATATTCAGTGTTTGGAAAGAACGTCGTTCAAAATTATTAAATGTTCAGTTTTTATAACTAAGGGTGGAAAATTTAAAACAATGATTCTCATAAACAATTCATACTGTAACCAAAAAATCTGATAAATATATAAACACATTTATTTTTTACAGATTTTCATTTTTTATTTTTTAAATTCAAATTTGGACAAAATTCCATATTTAAACCAAGAATAACGATTTTAGTTATTTTTTATAATTTAAAAATATTATTTGTTGGTATATGAAACTTTTAGGGTATATTGTTATATTTTATATACATGCTATGACATTTTCAAATGTAATTTTTTTGGGAAAATTAAATTAAACCAATTGTAGTAAATACTAAAGCATAATATTAAAATTAATAACTTTATTCACAATAATATCATCAAATACACTTAGTAAGATATTATAGACTGACTGACCGTCTTCGCTCAGAACCGTTTTTCTTATACGATGATATTATATCATTGAATTCAAATTTAACACAACCCATTACGGTGACTCACTTGTAACCTAAAACTGTACAGCAGAGCGACACCCACATGCCCACCTTTTGTATAGATTTTTTTATTTATTTTCCATTAATTTCAATTAATTATAAAATGTATAACTTGTTTGTTTTTCTTGATTAATTGATTTACCTTTGTAAGTTTTATTATATCTAAAAGATAAAATTGTTTGATCTATATAATTTTTTTTTATAGTTATAAGATTTCAAATGAGCAGCCTAATTTTTAGAACCAACTGTTAGGTTACATTTAACACAATTTTTGATAGATTGTGTTTTTTATTTAAAACACATTCCATTTATTATAGATCTCAATTTCTTTAACTATAAGTTCAATTTAATCCATCCATTCTTTATTATAGAGAATATTATATATTTTTTTTTTAATTTTGATTTTTGTAACTCTTTGTTGTAAAATGATCCTTCAATCTCTTCATTGTTTAAATCTATAATTATTTTATTAGTTTATACTTTATAGGATTTGTATTTAAAATTTCTTTAAGTATAACTATTTCTCTTGTCCAATTATTACTATATTTATTACCAAATGTTCTTTTACAAGCTTTTATTCTTACTCTATCAAATACACTAAATTTAATTTGTTGTTTAGGTTTGTTTTTTGTAGAAATTAATTTGTGTAGAACAAGGTCTTCGTTAGATTGATTTACTTCACAAGGTTTCATAAAAATAGATCGATGTATGTTTTTGAAATTATATTCATCAAATAAAGTTTTTAAAATATTTTTTAGATTTTTTTTTAGATTTTTAACTTTCTCATTTTCCGGTTTAATGTTCGGTTAATCCTTTTAATTATTGTCGATTTTTCTTCGTTTTGTGTGTGATAGATATGAATACCATATTTTTGCAAAACATTTTTAAAATGTTTATTTTCAAATTCCAAATCTTTATCAGCGTGAAGTAATTTTGGTGCTTGATTATTTTGTAATTTAGCTTATTCTATTATTTTTTCAAATGCTTTTGAAACACTAATTCCATCTTTCTTTTTGAATGGTAGGTAAAACCCAGTAAAATTTTGAAAATGTATCTATAATAACAGTTATGATATATTTATAACCATCATTTTCATCAGAATAACTAAATCAATAGCCTATAAATCTTCAATATCTGTACCTAGTGATAATTCTTCTTTTAGGAAATCAAATCCTAACTTATTTATCTAGTTATTTAGCTAATAAAAGTTTGTTAGTATCATTTAATTTTTTATTTAAATTTATAGATTCATTAGAGTTAGTTTGTTCAACTTGAGGAGCTTTTATAAATTTACTTTTATTTGTTTTACATTTGAAACATTTTGTTGAAATTCTCCAAATCTACCACTGATAGTTTGAATCTCAATTGGATTAATATTTGTTGTTCTTTTTTTACATTTGTGACAATGTATGGCTACTACTAACTCATTTGTTGTTTCTTTTAGTAAATTTAACACATATTTTAGTAAACATTCAATACCTTTTTTGAGAGTATCAATTAATTTTTCCATGTTTTGCTTACACAAATGAAGAATAGCAATTTTTCATTATGAAAACCATCATTTAAATCTATAAGTAAACCAATAATTGAAATAAGGATTGACTATTTTTCAGAATTTTTATATAAAATAAAATATTATTATTAATAAAAATATTAAAACTTATAACTTCATAACTGATATTGTAAGGCTGTGCCAGTAAGGTAAGTAGGTAGCAGTGTTGTAAAAAATACTTTTAAAAAGTATTCAATACGGAAAAAAGTATTTGAATACTTTTACTCAAGTACTTTACAACACTGGTAGGTAGGTTGTAGGTACAGTATAATTATATTTTAAATCTGCATACCATAATTGGAGATAATTACTATAAATAGAATTCAGTAATTTATCCATAGTAAATAATAATTAATAACTCTTAAGTAAAACTATGGGAGTATAATTGTGTCATAAAAATTTTTTTAGTTGTGCCTGAAAGAGTTAAAGCTCTTGTTGCCTGCAATATTAAAAATAAAAAAAGGAGTATTAATATTTTTAAAGTACCTAGGTAATTTATAAATACATATTTAATTTGACTATAGTGAGCCTTTCTCAGTTGTTACGGGTGAAAAACATAATAAAAAATACTCTGAAGTATTAGAAACACCAGGGTCCAGGGTATGTATTATATATTGTTTTATTTTTAATTTAAAATTATACTTATAATAGGTAATTTATTATATTTATACTTATATAGAATATTAGGTACTTATTTTAAATATTTTAAATTTCACACAGTTGAATAATAGAATGTATTTTATACATATAATGGAATGTTAGAGATTAAATAAACATCTAGATGATGTATTTAAAATAAATTAAAAAAAAATCAACAAAAGCAGCCAGAAAAAATTTAAGAAAAGAAAATACGCTGAAAAGACACCTGATCAGTACGACATATAGGACAAACAGCATTATGTCCTGTTGATAACTGAATCATACAGTTGTGGCATATCCAAGCATGTCCACATGGAAGAACTATATATTTTGTCTCATTTTGTTCCAATGTTCCCTCAATACACACCATACATAATGACCTATTTTCTGCAGCTTGTGGATCATTATTAGCATCTAAAGGC